ACAAAATTTGATCACTTTTTTGGGGGGGGAATCTTCATTGGTGATATTATTTTACACACATTTTCTCATGTACTAGTGAAGGTAAACTTTTTTTCATATGTTTAAAAATGTTTACTTTCTTGATTCCCTCTATTTTTAACTTGATCTGAAAGGCTCTCCCCATGGTGTGTATTTTAAGTGCCCAGGCCCTTTTATAAATGTGCATTTGTTCCCAGTTTGTTGTTTGTCTTTTGATTTCACTCGGAATTTGTACACTGTTTCAAAACTGTACATACTTACCATTTTCATGCGAATGTCTGCCCTTTATTTTTTTTTAATTTTTTTAATGTATTATTTATTTTTGAGAGAGAGTGAGACAAGCAGAGAGGGAGACACAGAATCTGAAGCAGGCTCCAGGCTCTGAGCTGTCAGCACAGAGCCTGATGCAGGGCTCAAACTCATGAGATCATGACTGGAACCAAAGTTGGACGCTTAACTGACCGAGCCACCCAGGCACCCCTGCCCTTTATTTCTTTATATGGTCTTTATATTTATTCTTGAAAGCCAATTTTCCTCGCTTTTTTGGCACTTTAAGGTTTGTTTTGTTTTGTTTTATATTTTATTTATTTATTTTTAATGTTTATTTTTGAGGGAGAGACAGAGCACAAGTGGGGCAGGGGCACAGAGAAAGGAAGACACAGAATTCTCAGCAGGCTCCAGGCTCTGCGCTGTCAGCACAGATTTACATGTGGGGCTCGAACCCACAAACTGTGAGATCATGACCTGAGCCAAAGTCAGATGCTTAACTGACTGAGCCACTCAGGTACCCCTGTTTTTTTTAAGTAATCTCTACACGCAATTTGGGGCTCAAACTCAACGACCCTCAGATTACGAGTCGCTTGCTCCACCGACTGAACCAGCCAGACGCCCCTAAAATTTTTATATTAGTTTGACCGAGGATGAGAATCTAATTTTATTTTTAGTCAACTGTATCAAATACATTGGCTAAAAATGATCTTTTCTCTTTCTTCGTTGATTTACGATTTTGGTTTTTCACATAGGTGAAATTGTTTCTCAAATTTTTCTTTTCCTCTTCGTTGGTCTGTTTGTATTTCCAAACCACATTTTTTTAAAGGAATATACTCTATGATATTCTTTTTTTTTTTTTTAATGTTTATTTTTGAGAGAGAGAGTGTGTGAGCAGGGGAGGGTCAGAGAGAGAGGGAGACACAGAATCTGAAACAGGCTCCAGGCTCTGAGCTGTCAGCACAGCCTGACGCAGGGCTCGAACCCATGAACTGTGAGATCATGATCTGAGCTGAAGTTGGCTGCTTAGTCAACTGAGCTACTCAGGTGCCCCCAAGTCACATTTTTTTAAACATTTTTTAAAACGTTAATTTATTTTGAGAGGGGGAGCAGAGAGAGAGGGAGATGGAGAATCCCAGGCAGGGTCCATGCCTTCAGTACAGAATCTGACATGGAGCTCAGACTCAACAACCTGTGAGACCGTGACGTGAGCCAAAACCAAGAGTTGGATCTTAACTGGCTGAACCACGGAGGCACCCCAACACAAAACCACAGTTTTACTTCAAAGCTCTTTTATCAAAATTATCACCATACTAATATGTTCCATGTTTTCTTTTTTTAAGGTTTTTGTTTGTTTGTTTGTTTTTTAAATTTTTTTTTTTTTAATTTATTTCTAGGAGAGAGAGAGAGACAGCGTGAGCAGGGGAGGGTCAGAGAGAGAGGGAGTCACAGACTGAAACAGGCTCCAGGCTCTGAGCTGGCAGTCAGCACAGAGCCCGACGCGGGGCTCGAACCCACGAACCGCGAGATCATGACCTAAGCGAAAGTCGGACGCTTAACCGACTAAGCCACCCAGGCGCCCCTTATTTGTTTGTTTTTAATTAAATAATCTCCATGCCCAACATGGGGCTCAAACTCACAACCCTGAGATTAAGGTGCACACTTTTCCATCTAAGCCAGCCAGGTGCCCCTCAATGTTTTCTTGTAATTCATTCTATACCACTAATATTACTGATTTTTTACGCAATACAGTTGGATTTTTTTAATTTTGAAATTAATATTATCCTTTCCTTTTTTTTTTAATTTTATTTTTATTTTTGAGAGAGAGATAGAGACAGCATGAGCAGGGGAGGTCAGAGAGAGAGGGAGACACAGAATCTGAAGCAGGCTTCAGGCTCTGAACTAGCTGTCAGCACAGAGCCTGATGCAGGGCTCAAACCCATAAACCATGAGATCATGACCTGAGCTGAAGTCGGAGGCTTAACCAACTGAGCCACCCAGGCGCCCCAATATTATCCTTTCCTTGTTCAAAGAGTGACATGTGCCCACAGTTTTGAATAAGCCGGTTTAAAAAAATAGGAAAAGGAACCATTAGAAAATAGAAAAACAGACAAAACGCACGAGGATTTCAAAGAAGACAAATGCAGATTGGCCCTTAAACCCACAAGAAATTGTTCGTCGAGAAAAGGGTAGTTCCACTGCTGATTGCTGTGTGCCCATAGTGTCGTTAGACAGCTGTGCCCTGTGTTGGCAGAGGTGTGGGTAAACAGTACAGGTGCATTACCTGTGGAGTGCAGTGTGGGTACAGCCCTGGAAGAACGGTGTGGGAATATTTAATACTGGTGAAGATGTGTGTTCATGTTTAAACCTGGAGACACTTAGTCCTGGGCAGGGAGACTGGCGAGGGAGTTCATTGGACCATTGGCTTGTGGTAGCAAAATATTGGGGAAAACCTGAACATTATCAACAGAACTGTACTCTGAAATAAGTCCGTGTCCTAGACCTACGTGCTACATGCTCAGGTCAGTCTTCAGACACTAGGGAACAGTGTACAGAACAAAAGAAACCTCACGAAATTCTCCCAAACACAGTGCTCCATGTTGTTTCATACATGCCTTTGCATATGACTTCCAGAAGTAGAATGGGTGTGCTTCCCTTACATTCTCCCAAAGGTCCAGAAACGTGCATTTCCGCCACGCATATGTGAGGACCTGTTTTCCTACACCCTCGAAGACCCAGGGGAGCATTACACTTATAATCTTTTTAAATCAGATTTAATCTTTGCTGGGACAAAGAAAAACAAGGAAGTAATTGTAAACCTATGACTGTTAAATTTCACTTATATTCCCGATGATTGACATTTAAAGACACAATTTATGGGGCACTTGCGTGGATCAGTTGGTTGAACATCTGACTGTTGATTTTGGCTCAGGTCATGATCTCATGGTTCATGGTTCAAGCCCCACATAGGGCTCTTTGCTGATGGTGTAGAGACTACCTGGGATTCTGTCTCCCTTTCTCTGTGCACCTCCCCTGCTTATGGTATCTCTCTCTCTCTCTCTCAAAAATGTGTAGATAAACATTTAAAAATTAATAATAAAATACTATGATTTCTTTTTCACTTTTTTAATGTTTTATTTATTGGCGGTGGGGGGAGAGAATGAGCAGGGGAGGGGCAGAGAGAGAGGGAGACACAGAATCTGAAGCAGCTCCAGGCTCTCAGCACAGAGCCTGATGCGGGGCTTAAACCCACAAACCGTGAGATCATGACCTGAGCTGAAGTCCGTCACTCAACCGTTTTTTTTTTTAAACAAATATTGGTATATCATACAATATGAAAGTATTACAGGTTGCATTTTTTCCTCCAGATTTTATTTTGAAGACCTTTCCAATTAAAACCGTATTTTTTATAACTGAAAATGAAATTTTATTTATTTTTAAAGCTTTGTGATTGAAACACTTTGCAGAAAATACAAGGATATTAGCCTTGTTAAGCTAATATCCAGGAATGCTACCTGGGGACAGTTTCTGCAACCATATGTATATAGTGACATACTTAGTGGAAATAATCACTTACGAACTTCTATTCTTAGGGATCAGAAGGTACAAACAGAAGTGTCCAGGAGTTGTTTCACATTTTACTCCTCCCAGATGTTCTCTCAAATACAAGGTTCCAGACGATTACAAACAAAATGAATAATTCTTTTTCTTTTTTTAATGTTTATTTTGAAAGAGCGGGGGAGGGGTAGAAGGAGAAAGAGAATCCCAAACAGATTCCACGCACTATCAGCGCAGAGCCTGATGCAGGGCTTGAACTCATGAACTGTGAGATATGACCTAAGCTGAAATCAAGAGTTGGATGCTTAACTGACTGAGCCACCACCCAGGTGCCTCCAAAATGAACAATGTTTACATGACATTTATTGTTACCAGCAAGCTTTTTGTTATGGTAATGTTTACAGGAAGCTTGAAACCCCCTTGATCTCAGAGTCTTTGAGTATAAGCCCCACCTTGGGGGTGGAGCCTGCACAATTAAAAAATTGTAGTAAATTTTTTACAAAAGAAAAAGAAAAGCCTCCATGAGGTCCTAACCACAGGCTTCCTGTAGCAGCACCCAGCATTCCAGACCTTGGGACACCTTGCACGTGGGGACCATCTAGACCACCTTCTACATGGGTGCTCTTCCTGGAACCAAACCCCTTAGCTCTTCCTTCTCATTGCAGACAGGCCCTCATTCCTCCTCACCGATTTGTGATGTGCCTGCTGGGAAGTAGTGTGGTTCTGTGACGCTGGGCACAGACGTCCCGTTCAGTTTTCCCTGTGACCTAGAATCACTAACGCTGCAGTGAACAAGCCTGTACTTTGCACACATGCACAGTAAACTCTAACCAGGGAACATCCACATTGGGGATTCGATCGGACACCCCCATGTGCCCACCTGGGGCCTGAGGGTGTCCTGCTGGCCCAGCACTGACGAGGAGGCCAGTGTCCCATCCATGGCCACCCTGTCGCCAAGAGGCATCTGCAGTTGGGATCATCCCGACCAGACCTTTGTGAGGCTACCTCAGGCTGCAGCTGGGCAGCCTCTCTGCCTTCCTCCCTGGGGCTCGTGCGGCCGGGGACTCCAGGGGGCTCTGCCCACCGCCCAGCTTGCTTTCTCCTGGTTCAGAGCTGCCCTGGACTCAGGCGTCCCCCTTGTCCCTCTGTGGTTTCAGAACCGGGTTTCTCCTTTCAAGGATATGATCTTCTGCTTCTCGCAAGAGGACTGGTCCCTACTGGACCCTGCGCAGACGGGCTTCTATGGAGAGTTCATCATCGGGGAGGACTGTGGGGTCTCGCTGCCTCCAAGTAAGACCCCCTCTGTCCAGAGCCCAGCCTCTGTCTGATAGCTCTTCACCCCTGGGCCCCACCGCCATGTGTAGATCAGACTCACCTGGCTGTTTTCATGGAAAACCAAATGCAGCACGTTTCCTGTGCGTCTGGTTTATTTTTGAGAGAGAGAGACAGAGCACGAGCAGGGGAGGGGTAGAGAGGGAGACGCAGAATCTGAAGCAGGCTGCAGGCTCTTAGCTGTCCACACAGAGCCCGACGCAGGGCTGGAACCCATGAGCTGTGAGGTCATGACCTGAGCTGCGTAGGTGCCCCTGATTTTCTGCCATTCTTGTCCTATGGCTCTCTTCACCTCTGGTTTCCTGATAGTCCCACAGGAGATGCCCTCGTCCCAAAGCTCTTCCTTGTCCCAGCCTCTGCCTGCATGTGCAGGGGACCTGTGGGTGCATCTGCACCAACACAGGGTCCCCCCTCTGTACCTGCCCTGGTCTCCGGTGCAGACCACTCACTGACGGCTGTGTGTCCCCCTCCCCACGAACAGGTGACCCGGGCACCCAGCTGAATCTCTCCCAGGGAGAGGAGAATGAGCCCCGGGTCCCAGAGTTGCAGGACCTGCAAGGGAAGGATGTGTCCCAGGTGTCCTACTTGGGTGAGTGACGGTTGCTGAGCTGGGGGAGGCTGCTACTGGGGGGGTGGGGGAAGGCCAGCTCCCTCCAGCCTCCCTCTGCAGCCCAGTCACCCCCCAGACTCTGTCTTGCTGGAACATGCCCGGCCTTGTCCCTGACTCTTCCCAGGAACAGGGTGAGGTTTCAGTTCTGTTGGGTGTGGGGACCGCACTGCCCTCAGCCAGAGCCCAGGATGTGATAGGAGTCTTCTCGCTGTAGGTAGTGCCTGTTTGTGCTGAACAGGTGCCCTTCCCCCCACCTCATCCACAGGTGGGGTCAGGCACTCTTCCGAAGGGAGGCTGGGGAGGAGGAGTCAGCGGAGGATTCTCCTGGTTGGGCACCGGTCTGGTTTGTGAGAAAACCGAGGCACAGGGAGGATTGAGGCTGAGTGGACAGTGGCACAGCTCCACCACAGCATCTCCCACCACCTGTCCCAGGCTGCCCATGCCCCAATGCTGTGAAATATCTGCCCCTTTAGGGGGACATGCTTTGCACAGTACAGGCAGCAGCCCCCTCACACACACCCCCACCGGCAGCTGGGACAAGCTGCAGGCAGAGCAGACCAGGCTGTGGGTGCTCCCCCCCCACCTGGGACGAGCTGCAGGCAGAGCAGACCAGGCTGTGGGTGCTCCCCCCCCACCTGGGACGAGCTGCAGGCAGAGCAGACCAGGCTGTGGGTGCTCCCCCCAAGCTGGGATGAGCTGCAGGCAGAGCAGATCAGGCTGTGCACCCCTGCCTCCCCAACTGGAACGAGGTGCAAGCAGAGCAGACCAGGCTGTGGCTCCCCCCAGCTGGGATGAGGTGCAGACTCTGACACGTGCAGTTGGCCCCTCTGTTCCCTCTGTCCCTGCTGGGCGTGTGTCTGGGCAGCATCTGTGGGTGCAGGACCCCATGCTGGAGCACGCACAAACCCCACCACAGAACGTGGAGGTGAGCACAGAGACATTCTCAGAACCAGACAGCACCCGCATGCACACGGATCCTGTCTGCCTTTGGAGCCTGTGTTCCTGCTGATGGCCATGCCACCTTCCCAGTCATTTCCTCCAGGACTTACCGAGCAGGCGCCTGGGCTGCTCCCAGGTGACGGTCCGGCATCTGTGAGGCTGGCAGCTGTAAGGCAAATCATTTTCTCCGTTTTCTTCTCTGGAAAGACTTCCCAGGTCTCCAGCCTTTCCAGGTAGAGGAGAGAAGGAAACGGGATGAGCTGCAGGTGCCCGAGTTCCAGACCTGCCCCCAGACGGCGCTCACTCAGAGCTCCTGCCCAGGTAAAGGGGTGGGGAGAGTGTGGGGGATGCCACGTGTATGTGAGCAACAGTATATACGGTGGGGGTGTGGCACGATGTGTGCCCTGTGTAGTGTAGTGCATGTGAGCACATGTCTCTGCATGTGGTGGGTTCTATGTGTGCACGTCTGTGTATGTTGGGTTCCGTGTGTGCATATGCGTGCAGTGTCCGATGTGTGATGTGTGAAATGCACGCGTGTGTGGTGGGTTCCGTGTGTGTGCACCTGTGCATGTGGTGTGTGGCGTGCTAAAGTACACATGTGTGTGGTTGGTTCCATGTGCGCACCTGTGCACGTGGTGTGTGGCGTGTGAAAGTGCACACGTGTGGTCGGTTCCGTGTGTGGCATATGCATGCAGTCTGTGATGTGTGAAGTGCATGCGTGTGTGGTGGGTTCTGTGTGTGTGTGCCTGTGCATGTGGTGTATGGCATGTGAAAGTGCACACGCATATGGTGTCTGGTGTGGCGTGTGAAAGTGCATGCATGTGTGGTGGGTTCCATGTGTATGTGCCTGTGCACATGGTCTCTGGTGTGGCATGTGAAATCACACGTGTGTGCGGTGTCCGGTGTGTGGTGCGTGTGTGCAGCTGCCAGGTGGGGTAGGGCCAGGAACTGGACTGAAACCCCTGCCGGCTGCTCCTGTGGGTGATCTGCCGCCTGGGCTGGTTGTTCTGCTTGGGCCCCTCGCGGGTAGAAGCAGGGCTGTGATGTAGGGCTGTCGGCAGCGTAGGGTCAGAGCCCCTGATCCGAGTCCTGGAATTAAGACCAGGTCTGGGGTGAGGGGCCCGCTGGACAGGATGCCTCACCAGAGTAGCCAGCGTGCACACCCGCCGTGATGGTGACAGTCCCCACCTGCAGCAGCAAGGACTGGAGTGCGGCATGCCTTACCAGTCTCGGGCGCAGACCTTCCAAACAGCGGACCCAAGCTCTGGCTCTCCCTGGATCCAGCCACATCAGGGAGACCGACTAACGCACGGTCTCTTTGACCCAGGATGGCATGTGGAGGCGAGATTCGCATGGGATTGTGGTATTTCCGGGTAGCTTCAAGTGGGGCCCACATTTGTGTGTGTGTGTGTGTGTGTGTGTGTGTGTGTGTGTGCACGTGCGCTGAAGGTGAGCGTTTGGGCGGGCTTCAGCATACCTGCCAGAGAGGCCTGTTGGCTTCTTGCTGGCCCCCGCCCACAGCGCGTCTCGGCCCCACCGGCGAACCTTCGCTCGGCAGACGGACCTTCACCAACACGGGAGTGCTCCTCTCCGCTCCCCTTCCTGGGTACTCACACAGAGTCTTTGCTGAAATGGCAGGAGGCCGAGGTTGCTGTCAGACTGGAGGGCTGCTAGATTTCCAGGAACAGGCACCCGCTTTGTTTCAGTGGCCCTGCTCTCTGACATGGGGGAGGGGTCTACACCACATGCCAAGCTCGTGCCGGGTGCTCCCTGACCGTCTGTCCGTGCCGGTTTGACCAGCGCATTTTGGCGCTGCACTGAGACGGACTGTGCCCTCTTCCTTACCACGTTTCCTCTGTGAGTCTCCTCGCTGACATTTGTTAGCCCTTGTTCTTGTTGGCCTTTCCCTGTGCATATTTGGTGAGCTTGGTTTAGGTCCGAAGCGCAGCACCACTGTTAGATCTCCACGGGACTGTGCTGAGTCCTTCTGGCACCTTCCGAGATGTGTGCTGTCTTAGGCACAGGCTAATTATGCAAGACAGCATAGACAGAAGGAATTTATTCCTCAGAGTCTGGAGGTGGGGGAAATCCAAGATCAGGTGCTGGCAGATCCTGTAAGTGGTGAGGACTCTCCTGGCTCGTAGTCGCCTGCCTCTCTCTGCATGCTCCACCGCCTTTCCTTGCTGCATGCTCTTGGAGACAGCACTGAGCTGGCCTGTGTCTCCCTCTTCCTGTTAGGGCTCTGATCCCACCTTCAAGACTGTCTAAACGTAACCACCTCCTATAGGCCCCACCGCCTCACGTGGGCTTGAACCACTGGGGGGGGAGACATATTCAACCTGTAAGAAGTACTGTTATGTCTCTGTCCTGCATCTGGGGGCCTGGGATGAAGGCAGGGGCCCAGGAGCAGCCCACGGTGAGGATCTGAAGCCAAGTGGTCAGGCCCTGGGCTGTGCTGTTCACATTACCACGCCATAGCTGATTTTTGAATGAATTTCATAGAAACTCAACAGTAAGGGGCTGAATCTGTTGCCTCTTCTGCATTTGCGCATAATTCTTCCCACTTTTTTTTTTTTTAACTTTCTAGGTCTTTCAGCTCGTGATTTTTGTTGCATTTTATTTTATACTTTATTTTTTTATTTTAGAGAAGGGGAGGGACAGAGGAAGAGAGAGAGAATCTTAAACAGGCCTCACACTCAGCTCAGAGCCCAATGCAAGTCTCAATCCCATGAAGCTGAGATCATGACCTGAGCTGTGTTCTGCATTTAAAAAATGTAAATTTTGTTCATTGCCTCCTATTTGGTTTTATGTCTTGTAAGAAAGCCTCCCCATTCTAACATTCTGAGAATGTGTTTTTTTACAGTGCCTATATCTTTATTTGTTTACTTCCACCTGTAGCTTCCTATCCTTGCTGCTTCTCAGCCCCTGCGGCTCCTGGAGGACTGTTCATTCCCAGTGCATGGAGTGCTCTTCCGGAGGCCTCAGCCGCCAGCCAGGAGTGTGCCTCTGCTCCCGGCATGTGCCGCGCTCTGGCCTTTCCTGCCTGCAGCACCACCTGGCCACTGCTCTTCTGAAACCCGAGCAGCTTTCTCCCTCCGCTTGAACTCTTTCACCTGCCAAACAGGCATAATCGTCATAGCTGCCGGGTGGAATTACTGTGGTTCTCTTTCTTTCTTTCCTAATGTTTATTTATTTATTTATTTTGAGACACAGGGAGAGAGAATCCCAATCAAGCTCCGTGCTGTCAGCACAGATCCCACACGGGGCTTGAACCCCCAAACCATGAGATCATGACCTGAGCCGAAATCAAGAGTCTGGATGCTTAAACGACTGAGTCTTGCCCCCCAGCTGCCCACAGATGGATTCATTGCTGAGGATTAAATAATTCCGTTCACATAAAAGCACTTAGACCAATAATTCTTGCCTGTTAGCCCCACTGTTATCCTGCTACCCAGTTCACCGCCCTGCCCCCATGCACACCCGTTACTTGTCAGTGCTGATCCAGGAGCTCTGTTACCCTTTCCCTGCTGTTTTGGGCACACCTCTGTGTCTCATGCCACCTGGAGGTTCTTTACATTGTGGTGTTGATGACACACAGCAGCATTACTGTTGATTTACTCTTCCCTCTTCAGCAGCTCTGCGTCTATTTCTGTTGACTTTCTGGTCCGAGCAGATGTCATCCCATATGCATTATGTTAGTCTCTGAGAGCTGCTGAAATACCACGGACCAGGAGGCTCAAACAGACTGGGTTTTCTCGGAATTCTGGAGGCTGCAAGTCTAGGGTGAAGGTGGCTGCGAGGTAGGCTTCTCCTGAGCCCCGCCTCCTTCTTGGCTTGCAGAAAGCATCTCCTCCCTGTGTATTCACGCCATCCGTCTCTGCATGAGCCCTTAACTTATAAGGATACCTGGTATACAGGTCCCGCCCTAATGACTTCATTTTAACTTCATTCCCTCTTGAAATGCCTTGTCTCCAAATACGTTTATATTCAGACATACTGGGGTTAGAACTTGGACCTACAGATTTTTAAGGGGCGTCGCCGTTCAGCTCATAGCGTCCAGCCTCAGGCCCTGTAAAGTCCATGTTCTCTTCCCATCAAGGACATCCCTTAATCTCTTCCAGCATCAGCTTTGCATCCATAACCCATCTGAATATCCTGTGGATCAGATGGAGGGGAGACCCCCCCAGGCACATCCTCTCTGGCTGTGAACCTGTGAAACAAAACATCCAGGGTGTACTTCCCAAAGTGCAGGCTGGGACAGGTGTGGGATAGACCTTTTCATCCCAAAAGGGAGACTTTGGAAGAATAAAGGCTCCCAAGCGAGTTTGAAACCTAGTACGGCAAATTCCATTAGGACTTAAGGCTTGGGGTGCCTGGGGGGCTCAGCCAGTTAAGCGTCCAACTTTGGCTCAGGTCATGATCTCACAGTGTGTGGGTTCACACCCCAGGTCAGGCTCTGTGCTGACAGCTTGGAGCCTGGAGCCTGCTTCAGATTCTGTCTCCCTCTCTGCCCCTCCCCTGTTCACACTGTCTCAAAAATAAACATTAAAAATTTTTTTAAAAAGAATTTAAAGCTTGGAACACCTGGGTGCTTCAATCGGTTAAGCATCTGACTCTTGATATCAGCTCAAGCTGTGATCTCATGGCCATGAGTTTGAGCACCAAGTTGGGGTCTGTGCTGGCTGCTTGGGATTCTCTCTCTCTCTCTCTCTCTCTCTCTCTCTCTCTCTGCCCCTCCCCTGCTCATGCGCACACACATATTCATATTCTCTCTCTCTCAGAAACTTCATAGACCTTAAGGCTTGGGCTGAATCTCTGGCCAGTGCTCTGTTTGCCCTTGGGCCCCAGGCGCTGTAGTATCCTATCTGCCTGGGGACGGCCATTGGAGCCATTGGAGCCAGCCGTCTCTCAAGGGCACCCTCCCATTGGTCTCCAGATAGCTCTGCTGGCCTCTTCTGTGGAATCCCAGAAGTCTGACAGCCTTCTTAAGATCTCTTGCTTCTTAGTCCGAGTTGGCAATGTCTCTGCTCATCGTGCAGTTCACAGGCATTCACCAAACCAGAGGGTCCTCCACAGCTCTTCCCTGGGTTGCCTCACCTCCGTGGGCCACACCCAGAATCCCTTTACTGGATCGTCATCCAGCCACTTGAGCCTTCTCTTCAGAGCACACTTTGCCATTTGTTCCAGTGTGGATAAAGCTGGGAATTTTCCAGATACTCCATCTCTCTTCCCCAGTCTCATGTTGTGCTGAGTCCCCTTACCCTGTCCCCTGAGGATTGAGTGCGCTCTGTGGCCCTGCCGCTGCCTGGTGTCTGCCCACTCTGTGGCTTCTCGGTCCTCCTGCCCTGCTTCTGTCTTTCCAGCTTTACTCGCCCTCAGGCTCCCTAACCACATAGAACCCTCCTTCCTCCAAATACTAAATGCACAATCTCTGTATTCCTGCTAAGACCTCAGGGGGTTCTGGCAGCACTCCCCCACCCCCTACCCACCGCCTCAGCCCCACAGCTCATATAGCGGGGAAACAGATCCGAGGGGAAGCTGCATGGTGGGCTTGGCTAGGACCTTACCGCATTGTCCACCTGTCTTCCAACATCACAGACTCCGGATTCCTGGAGTCTGTTCGGTGCAATCTAGGTTATAAAGTGCAGACAGAGCAGCTCGACCCATTGCCTGGGGGCTGCTGCCAGGCATCAGAGGTGACGCTGAGGGACAGCTGACCTGGGTGTAGGGTTGAACAGCCCTGAGGTTGGCACAGCAAGACTGACTCCCCTTCAACCCTGACCCCAGAGCGTGTCACCCAAGTTTGCTTGTGTGTGTAATTTGGCAAATAATACACCAGTGGCTTGTGTCCAAGGACAGATGGGACTGTTGGTGTCACACGTGTCACAGAGCCCCTGGAGCGTGTCAGTGCCCAGCACACAGTAGCTGGCACCTTCCTGGCACTGCCTTTCTAGAATAGCTGTTTCCCGACAGCTTTAATGTGCCCTATGCCTGGTTAAGTAAGTGGTGCTAACTGATGTCTAAGTGGCCAGACCTTACACTGACAAACACAAAGTCTTTAGAGATTGTAGGGGTCTCCACCTAGGAAAGGAGGAAGTTAAGGTCTGTGCCAGGGCCTTAGAGATATCGGACAGAGAAGGGGAGAGGATCCACGCTGAACCTCCCTGAGGAGCCTTTGCAGGGGCAGGGCCGTGGCTGGGCAGCACCACTGATCTTCTGCGTGGCTTTCCTGTAGCCGGAGGGGACGCGCTGACCCCAGAGAACGGCCTGGACGAGGAGGTGACCATCGAGATCGTCCTGTCCAGCTCCGGAGACGAGGACTCCCAGCTCGGGCCCTACTGTGCGGATGAGCCACGGGGCCCCACGGAGAAGCCGCGCAGCCTCCCAGCTTCGCATCGCAGTGGCGCGGAGCCCGGGGGCGAGGTGCAGACGTCCTCCAAAAAGTCCTACATCTGCCCCAACTGCGGGAAGATCTTCCGTTGGCGGGTCAACTTCATCCGGCACCTGCGCAGCCGCAGGGAGCAGAAGCCGCACGAGTGCTCGGTGTGCGGGGAGCTGTTCAGTGACAGCGAGGACCTGGACGGGCACCTGGAGAGCCACGAGGCCCAGAAGCCCTACCGCTGCGGCGCTTGCGGGAAGAGCTTCCGCCTCAACTCGCACCTGCTGTCGCACCGGCGCATACATCTACAGACCAGCGGACTGGAACAGGTGCAGAAGGCGGAGCCGGACACGGCGTCGGGGACCGTGGGCGGGGGTCCCGGCGGCCTGCTGGCCTTCCAGTGCTGCGACTGCGGGCGGGCATTCCAGCGGCCTGAGCAGCTGGCGCGGCACCGCAGCAGCACCCACCTGCGGGACTCGGCGCGGCCCTTCCAGTGCCGCTATTGCGTCAAGAGCTTCTCGCAGAACTGCGACCTGCTCCGCCACCAGCGCCTGCACATGAAGCGCCGCTCCAAGCAGGCCCTCAACTCTTACTGAGGCGGCCACGGCCCTGCCCGGCCCCCTCCCACGGTGCACCTGCCCCGGGACCGACGCCGCGTCCTCCTGCCCTTCGTTCTCAGGTAGAAATGAGATAGTGGCCGACTGAGCATGTGCTCTGGCTCTGCTGTGCCAAATGGCAGGGAGGGCGTGTCTACACCAGCTTTGACTCTCCGTGTCCGCAGGTCCTAGAGAAGCGCCCCCTCCAGATGGTCCCAGGCAGGCAGGGACGGGACCACCCCCTGCCATGGTCAGCCCCTGGGGGTCTGTCCCTTGCCGGCCAGTGTCAAATACACTCCCATAAATTCGTGTCTGACACCTTCCCTCCCCCTGTACTGAGGTCTGGGGGTACCTGTACATCTGTCTGACAGCAAGAAGGTTGGGGTGTGCTGATTGGCAAGGGGGCTCTTGCCTTTGGGCTGTGACCACAGGGCTTAGCACACCAGGCCATGTCTTGTCATCAGAAGTCTGAGTCCCTGTCACCCCTATGCCCATAGAAACAACCTACTGTTATCAGGCAGCCCTTTCAGGCTCAAACCGTGGTGGGGGCTTTATAGCTCCTACAGAAGGTAAACACCTACCCTTTCATTTGTGATGATATCTGCTTATTAGGGAACATGAGTTCATCGAAGGCAAAGCCCACATTTTAACCTGTAGCACACCCTCCCCTAAATGTTGTTTCTTTGTACCCTCCAAGGGCTTCATGAGAGGTGGTGGGGTGGACGTGCAGTCCATCAAGGCCAGGAATGGGGGCTCAGCCCCCAGGGAGGGTGTTCTGTTGTGTCTGGGTGAGCTGAGCTGGGGAAACAACCTCAGGTGAAGTCATGCACGTATGACTTAGCATGCTGGTTGTAGTCGTTCATGAGAGCTCCTGAGAAACCAGATGGCTCAGAACAACAAAGCCATCGTCTTGGTTCTGAAGGCACAAGTCCAAGGTCTGGCTCTCTGCAGGGTGGCCCCTTGCCAGGGAGGCTTTTTCCTGTCTCCTGTTGCCCCCCAGGCTTGCGGGCAATTGCTGATGCTCCAGAAGCATTGGCCCAGCTCTGCTGTATCCTCACATGGTGCCCTGTGTATGTGTCTGTCCCTTTCTGTAAGGACCCCAGTTGTATCTAAGGCCTGCCCGTCCTACCCCATACACTCCCATCTTTACTAATTACATCTGCCGCAGCCTCGTTTCCAAACAAGGTTACACTCCGTTGTGCCAGGGTTCGAGTTGTGGGGGCTGGGGACACAGTTCAGCCCACACCACCACATAGTCCTGCAGCTCTCATCCCCAATCTGCACAACACAGTAGTTAGCTCTCCCTTCCACCGGAACCATGATTCAGACCCAAGCTGCTGCTCCTGGGGGAGTGTCCTCCGCACAAGACCCTTCATCGTCTAGCCTGGCATTCTGGACGGGGAATGGCTGGCAGTGGAGCCTCAGACCTTGGTGACTGTGGTCTTACTGCTCCAGGAAGAACTGACCGAGTCTGCTAGGCCCAGTGACAAGAAGGCGTGGGGATGGATGAGCAGCTGTGGCCCATTGTCAAACCCAGCGACCAGGCGGGTGTCCTGTAGTTGTACCACTGCCAGTTTGCTCTTTGTCATCCACCTCATTGTCATATCGAGACACCACTCCCCCAAACCCAGTGAAAGAGTTACAAGGTCCTAGAGTTAAATGACGGCTGTGCCTGTGTAGATGCATCTACGTACTCAGGAGCAGTAAATGCAGTAAAACCCTTTGGTCACACCCTCAATAATAAACTATTGGGGCTCTTTGTTTCTAAAGAGTTTGCCATTTTTATTGATCTGTCAGGAAATGGGGAGAAGAAACCCCCAGAATCTTTTAAGGCTAATGGAAAATTCCAAATAGAAGCCAAACTGCACATTTATCCCATCCAACTGTGCTTTGGCCAAAGGTTCCATTGGTGGTGAGTGTGTTAACCCACCCACTGCAGACGTGTATCTAAGAGGAATATTGCCCCACTTAATCAGTGTATTTTACATGTAGGTTCTGATCATAAATAATAAACAAATGGAATGTACCAGAACTGAAACCTAAAAGGAGGCTGTGCATTTCTTCAGTGTCAGTCAGATATTGTGAGGCAGCCTCCCATTCAATGACCCAAAGCTGACCAAGGCACCTAGCAAACCAGGAGTCGACATTGCTCCTGGAAACCATCATGGGTAATGTAGCTCCAATCCCAGGTTCATCCCATGCAGAGGAAGCCAGGGATACCCATGTTGCAGAAAGCTTCAGGTAATACGAGGGCTTACCTGCTTGGTTCCTCCCTCCCTCTGTGGGGACTGGGCAGGCAGGTGAGGGTGCCACGGAGGCTCAGGAGACTGCACATCTGAGAAGCATCTGCTCTCCCTATTCCTGATCCCTTGGCATTGTTCCCACAAACTGAACAGGTGCATAATAAAAAATTCACTGAATTAATATTCGTGTTAGACTTTAAATTTTGGTTAAAAAAAAAGTAAAATGCCAACAGAGATAGTTGGTCAAATGGCCTGACCAGGAGAGCTTGAGGTATAATGATCTTGAAAATGGTCCTTCTGGACATTAGACAACGCCTTATGAAACTTCTTTACCTCAGATAGTTTCTGTCACCTGATCTGAGCCCTCTCTAGAAGAGGAAATGACTGCACGTTGGTTAGGTTGCACTCCTGGTTACATCATAGCTATTTCAGCCAACTTTGGCCAGTATTTAGTGCATCCTTTGTCTCCTGAACTCGTGCTGCACTTGGGCAAAACAGATGAGACCACTGGCGGAAAGTTCTCTTGCCATTCCTAAGTCACACCATGACATTGATGGGAGAGAAGGTGCAAGTCCACACATGCCTTAGACTTGGACATTGGTCCAAATTTCTTGTCTCCCCTGAGGGAGTTCCCTTCCTCTGCCAAAAGCAGAATTTGGACCAGAAGCAAGCTCTTCTGTTTGCAGTGTAATGTAGGGGATTTGATGATCCCCAATCCTATCAAGCCCAGGCACATTGTCTATTAGCAACAAAAGTTGATACGGTTTTGTCTTAAAAGTGATGGTTAGTGCCCACCAGTGCCCCATGCATCAAGGCTACATGTTAAGAAATGTGCTCAAGGCAGGTTCACCAGGAAAGGAGCAATGGGGAATCTCCTTGATGCCACATTGCACAAAGCTGTCAGCTGAGTAGCAGAGTCCCAGGAAAGGCAGGAGATTCAGAGTGAGTCCAGGATTCTCTTCTAGCCCTTTATTTTGAAGCGGATCAGGTACAGAGGCTCCTAAGACAAAATTTAGGGCAAAGTCCATCTGTTTGACTCAATTTCCTGTTTCCCAGGCAACAGGTCTTCCAACACATTTTCAAATCAGTTTATCCACAAAACCCTTGGAATGGGACATTTGGCATAGCCCCAAGCACAGGAGCACATTGTTAAAAGTCTCAAGGAATAGAAACAGGAAGGAGATAAAAAAAGGAATTTGCCTCATGGAGAGCCAGCAAGTAGAACATTACAATGTGAGACTCTTGAATGTCCTGGTCAGGGTCCTGATAGCAAGACCCCAGGATTGGTCAGGTGGCTGATAGAATGCAGGACCATTCGGGCCAGTGGCCACATCTGCATGCTCTTCATGGGACTCCCTGTACCTCAAGTAGCCACAAGATTCACCCTCACCACTCAGTGAGGCTCCATAGGTTTCCTTTTTTTTTTTTTTTTTTGAGTTTTTATTTAAATTCCAGTTAGATAACATACAGTGTAATACTCGTTTCAGGTATAGAATTTATTTTTTTTAATTTTTTTAAAAATGTATTTCTGAGAGAGAGAGAGAGAGAGACAGTGTAAACAGGGGAGGGTCAGAGAAAGACACAGATTTTGGAACGAGCTCCAGGGTTTGAGCTAGCTGTCAGCACAAAGCCCGACGCGGGGCTCGAACCCACAAACCCTGAGATCATGACCTGAGCCAAAGTCGGACACTTAACCAACTGAGCCATCCAGGCACCCCTCAGGTGTAGAATTTAGTGACTCAGCACTTTATATAACACCTGGTGCTTACCACAAGTGCACTTACTAATCCGCATCACCTTATTTAAGCTATCGCCCATCTGCCTCCCATCTGGTAACCATCAATTTGTTCTCTATTGTTAAGAGTCTTGTTTCTTGGTTTGCCTCTCTTTTTTCCATGTTTGTTATGTTTCTTAAGTTCCATATATGAGTGAAATCATGGTATTTGTCTTTCTCTGACTGACTTATTTCACTTAGTATAATATACTCTAGCCCCATCCACATCGCAAATGGCAAGATTTCATTCTTTTTGTGGCTGAGTAATATTCCATGTATACATATAACATATATATATTATGTATATATACCACATCTTCTTTATCCATTCATCAGTCGATGGGCATTTGGGCTCTTTCCATAATTTTGCTATTGGTGACAGCAATGCTATAAACATTGGGGCGCATGTGCCCCTTCGAATCAGCATTTTTGTATCCTTTAGGTAAACATCTAGCAGTGCAGTTGCTGAATGGTAGGGTAGTTCTATTTTTAACTTTTTGGGGCACCTCCATACTGTTTTCCAGAGTGGCTGTGCCAATTTGCATTCTGACCAGCAGTGCAAAAGTTTTCCCCTTTCTCTGCATCCTCGTCAACTGTTGTTGTTTTCTGAGTTGTTAATTTTGAGGCTCCATAGATTTCACTGTTAGGAGTGAAATCTCAACTTAAAGTACTCTTGGGAGAAAGAATGTTCATTCAGGATTCCTGAGATAGCAACAAATTGCATAGAAAATGAAGTTAAAACATGGCCCCAGTTGTTAAATAGGTGATGGGTATTAAGTGTGCACTTGTGAGGAGCACTGGGTGTTGTATGGAATGCTGAGTCACTATATTGTACACCTGAAACTAATATTACACTGTATGTTAACCAATTGGAATTAAAATAAAAACTTAAAACATGGCCCCATGTAAGAGAAGACTCTGGGACACTGGATGGGGATTAAACAGTTGAGTTTTGTCCCTCAGAAAGATATGTCCATCTCCTAACCCCCAGAACCTATTAATGTGACCTTATTTAGAAAAAGGGTCTTTGTTTGGTGTAATCAAGTTCAAAATATTTGAGACGAGATGATCCTGAATTACCTGTGTGGGCCTGAAATCCAACGACAAGTGTCCTTAATAGAAGAGACAGAGATAGCAGAGGGCACAAGTGGGTGAACACTATGTCAGGCACAGGGAGTGATCAGCGAGAAGCCACAAGCTGAGGGAAGTCTCGAGCCAATGAAGCTGGAAGATGCAAGAAATGATCAGACCCTAGAGCCTTCAACACCTTGATTTCAGACTTCTGGCCTCCAGAACCGTGAGAGGACAGATTTGGAATGTTTTAAGCTACCCAGTTTGTGACAATTTGTTGTGACACCTGTGGGTTACACCAGCTTCTGGTGGCTTCACCCATCCCTTTGCTTGTGGCTGCATCAGTCCAAACTTTGACCCTGTCCTGTCAAGGCCTTCTCTTCTTCACCACATCTTCTGCTCTTATAAACCCTAATTGGAATTAGGACCAACCTAGTTAATCCCTGATGGCCTCATCTCAAAAACCTTAATTTAGGGGCGCCTGGGTGGCTCAGTCAGTGAACTGTCTGGTTTCGGCTCAAGTCATGATCTCACAGGCCGTGGGTTCAAGCCCCACCTGAGGGTCTGTGCTGACAGCTTAGAGCCTGGAGCCTGCTTCAGATTCTGTGTCTCCCTTTCTCTTCCCCTCCCCCACTCGCACGCAGTCTCTCAAAGATAAATAAAAAATTTTTTTTAAAAAAAACTTAATTTAATTAATCTCTACCCTTTCTCCAAATAAGCTGACATTCACAAGTTTCAGGGAACAGATTTTCAAGGGGATCCATTCAACTCATTATGGTGATTACTAAGAATCTGATTCTTTCAAGAAAGGATTAAAGTCAAAACCAGCCAGTTAATCGATAAAGTTCTACTGATTCTGGCAAATTAAAACTGCCCTTGAACGTCTGGTTTTTTCACAGTGAAGAGGTGCTCCCCAAGGATATGATTCTTTTCAGTCAAGAGTCCAGAGTGTTAAACCTGAAAGAAATGTGATGAGTCACCCGGAGCCCTCTTTGGCAGATGGGGACCGTTTGGCTTTGTCTGAGATCATGGGCATCCAGGGGAAAGAGCCCAGTTTGTCTCCTGCTGGGCCAGATCCTGGCCTTTGCAACATGAAATGCGGAGAGGAGAGACAGACTGATACCTCAGTGTGGTGTTAAAAAGAAGTAACAGACCCCAAATGGAGTCACTCTTGCTAAGTGCTAAGCCCTATCAGAACCTAATAACCAACTGAATTTAATTTCAGCTTCTCCCAGGAGTAGGATTTTAAACCACTCAGTCTGGAATTTCCTGAACACACTAGTAAAGCAAACTCTGCCTTACCCCAAAAGATGATGATTGCCTGAAATAATTTCTTTTGTTTATGACATCCTTGTCCCTGACCCTTTCTGCCTATGCCTATTAAAACCTTTCATATTGTACAGGTCCTCAGAGATCTCTGTTTGGTAGATGGGATGCTGGCTAATTCATAAGTCACTGAATATAATCAATTAGATCTTTAAATTTACTCAGCTGAGAGGTTTCTTCTTTTTTCAAAAAAAGTTTATTTATTTTGAGGGGTGTAGGGGCAGAAAGAGAGAGAATCCCAAGGAAGCTCCAAGCTGTCTTCACAGATCCTGACATGGGGCTCATCGCATGAGATCATGACCTGAGCCAAAATCAACAGTTGGACACTTAACTAACTGAGCCATCCAGACACCCCATTTTTTTTTTCCTCTCTTTTTTTAAGCAGTATCTATCAGGAGGGACACCTGGCTGGCTCAGTCAGTAGAGAGCACGACTTTTGATCTTGGGGTTGTGAGTTCCAGACTCATGTCAACTGTAGAGATTGCTTAAGTAAAAAACCTTTTTTCTTAATTTTTAAAATGTTTCTTCAGTTTTCGAGAGAGAGACAGAGACAGAGCGAGCAGGGGAGGGGCAGAGAGAAAGGGAGACACAGAATATGAAGCAGGCTCCAGGCTCTGAGCTGTCAGCACAGAGCCCTATGTGGGCGGGGCTCAGACTCACAAGCCGTGACATCATGACCTGAGCTGAAGTCAGAGACTCAACCAACTGAGCCACCCAGGTGCCCCAATAATGAAAAATCTTAACTATCTATCAGGAGTCTGCACAGAAATGTCACCAATACAGATGTATATATATACATACATAGAAAGGGATTTATTTTAAGGAAATTGCTTATATAACTGCCACATTTGGCAAATCTAAAAACTGCGGGGAGCGCTGGCCAGCCGGACAGCCAGGAAGACTTGCACTTCTAGTCTAAAGGCAGTCTGCTGGCAGAATTCCTTCTTTCTTGGAAAAGGTCAGTCTCTTATTAACGTGTTTGTCCGAGTCAGTTTGGGCTTCAGTAACAA